CCCCCCAAAAGAAAGAGGAAAAGGATACCCTGAAATGATTTTATGGCAAGAGGATGACGTATCTAATTGAATATGACGGAATTTCGAAAGAGGAAGGGCTTGGGTTGGAAGAACGTGTCTCATTTATGTATGATATTCCCACAGTTTGCCCTTCATGATAGGGACGCTCTTCTTTGTACATTCATAACTACTCATTTTTTATTGACCAAGACCTGCTCTCTTCAGAGACGGCATGCTCTTCAACGTGATGGCTTTGGCTTGCTATTTTGCATGACTGGTTCCCTAATGTGTATCCTGCTGGCGAAGGGGAGTCTTCATTGCCCACACCGGTGTATTTTGAATTGAGGAGAAGAGTTTACCACGGAGCAATATGTGCCTCCAGCAACAAGTCTGTGTGCATACAATGGGTTGCGCCATGACAGAGCAACGTCGTTGCCAAGCATTCAGGGGCTCAGCCTGAATATGATACTCAACATGTTCCCACATCTGCGAGCAGATACGGTACTATTGTGGAAAGAGAACACATTCAGAACAGCTAGTCAAGGCTACTTGAATGCATTAAGGCCGTGCTCATAGAAAGTGGTGCCTTCCAATTCAGGCCATTGTCCCCCAGCGGCCACAATGCTCCTTCCTTCCCAGAGGTCCCACCACGCGCTCCAGACGCGTGGGACTGCCTATTGTCAGTATCTTCCCCAGTCTTTTCTCAATTGAGGCCTTCGTCCGTTCACTTCTTCCTTTCATCACACCAAGCATCCTTATTTGTGCGCCGCGAACCCTTCACCACGACTCGATCAACTCGAAGGTCCGACACTAGTGAGAGGACCTATCTCACTTCAAGACAAGTCCGGTCGCTCAAATATCTCGAGTTACATATCCTTTCAGTCGTTCACCTTTCGCTTCTTTTCGTGCGTTCCAGCGTTACGAGATATCCTTCGATTCCGCCGCAATACAGGCAGTATCCCCCACTCCGGGCCCCAGCCTTTCTTACTTAAGGGGGTTACTATCACGAACAGCACCAGATACATAGACTACCGGCTGCCCAAGCCAAATATCTACATACGGCATGTTCTACAGCCACGAAAGTAAGTATCTTGCCGAGCCATCCGAGAGTTCAGACGCTTACACCACCAACAGTCCTCACCAGCCACCAGTATGGTGTGGCCACAGTCTGGTACGTTCAGAATTTCCCTTCACCAAATGTTATCCTCGTATCTAATATCACCAGGCTCGTCTCAACCGTTGGCATCAAGTCCAATGCCAAGAAGATCTCACGCAAGGCGATCCAGGAGGTCAACGTCCAGAAGGCTTGCGAAACTATCTTGGAGCCTGGTGCCCCTATTGCCCTGCGTCTCCAAGGCAGTCTTCTCTATGGCGTCTCCAGGGTGTACTCGCAGCAGTGCCAGTATGTATTGGCCGACGCTGAGAAGGTGCAGGCCCATATGATGGCTTTTTACAATGCCATGGGCGGAAATGAGAATGCACTGGATCCGAGGGCAGGCAAGGCCAAGTAAGGTTGCTCGAAAGAAATTTTCTTTGATAACGTGGGTAGCTGATATCTTATAGGCGGAAGGAGCTCATGCTCCAAGACGACCCTGATTTTGACCTCAACTACCAGCTCCCCGTCTTTGAGCTTGACGATGACGGTAACTTGATTCTTCCAGCCGTCGAAAGCCAAGCATCACGCAACAGCACTTCACAGATGTCACCTCACCAGCTCGACAGCTTCAACGCTGGCGGGAGCTCGATCCATGGGGGCCTTGACCTCCCCGGATCTTCTTCTGGTCTTGGAAACCCATTCCATGACGATCCCTTTGGCAGCGATGACATAGATCATGGCAAGGACAACCAACAAGTGCTGCCCTTCGGCGATGAGGAGCGACAGCTTGCACCCATCGATGATTGGGGCATTGAAATCGACGCAGACGGGAACGTGTTAGCCCTTTTCGAGGAGCCTGAGCTGCCGCAAATTCCCCAGGTCGATGTTTCCAAGGCCGATGACCACCTTCCCTCTGATCTCGGTCTCGATCGATTCGATAGCGAAGGAGACTTCATTATGGGTAACAGAGACCCTGCCATTCCTTCTGATCCGCGCCTGCCGTCTGAACCCCCTGTCCTTCCCCAAGTCGGGCAGGCGCAGCAAGAAGAGAACCAAGAGCAGCAACAACAAGAGGCCGAAATGGACGAAAACGCTAGTGAAGTTCAAGCTCCAGCTCGTGCTCGACGTCAGCGTCGCCGCCAACTTCTCGCGCCAGATGATCAGACTATGCTCACTCGTGGGCAGATTCGACTCTGGGGTGACACTTACGCCAACAGAGCTGATGAAGAGACCGCTCGACAGCAGCGACGTGGACTCACAGCCACGGAAACACGGATGAATGCTTACAATCTGGTGTTCGGACAGGGTCTCGCCAACCTTGGCTACTTGGCCGGCTACCCTAACATCCCGCACCCCTTGGCCCCCTTCTTTGCAGGAGAGGGTCTCGCTCAGCAGTTAGGTTTCATCAGCCCAGATTCCGACGTCAGCGGCGATGTACCCGCCACCCCCCGTAGCCGCCGTCGCACAGCCTCACAAGCCCTCGAGCTAGAAGAAGACGAAGTCGCCCGTCGGGTCCGTCCCCGCCTCAGCAATGAGCCCGACGCCCCACAAGGTGCCCCCCAACTTACAAACGAAGCCCAACTCTTCCTCCTGGGTGAACAAGGAGAGCCAATTGAAGCAGGTAGAAGGGGCACCAGCGCCCAATTCTCAGACGCAATCCACTCCGATGCCCCCTGGAACAGACCCTCCTCTCACATCCCTAGCTCCTCCATCAAAGGCGGTGCCGGCTCCAAACCCGGCAGCCGTCGCGTCAGCGCCTCCCCCCTCACCCACCGTGCCAGAGCTGGTATCTTGGGGGGATCAGACCAGATCGAACGCTTCAGCGATCAACCCATCTTTGGATCAGACACGGGTTTCTCCCAAGGAGGAGGAGGTGCTTTCCTCTCTTCTGACCCCATCGTCGATCCGATTGATGCCCCCGAGGAGATAAAGGTGCCAGCTGATACCTCCCAGCAGATGATCAATGCCCTTGATCGCGAGGGGCAGAACTTCGCAAGGTTTCTCCGGCATATTGCCAAGACCAAGGGGTACGCCAATGAGGATGATGAGCAGGACGAGAAAGCCTGGGTGAGCTTTGATGACTTGTTTGAGCCGGAGGATAGGAAGAGGGCGGTGGTGGTGCAGGCTTTTCATCATGTGTTGACTTTGGCGACGAAGAATGTGGTGAAGGTGAAGCAGGATGGACAGGGGGGGCTGAAGCTGTTTGGGGAGATCAGGGTGGGGGTTGACTTGCCTTTGTCTGAGGATGGTGGCGAGGAGGGGGAGGATGAGGAGATGGGGGATGGTGGTGAGGAGTCGAGGATTGCTACTGGGGATGATGATGAGGAGTAAATGGGATGATGCATTTATCGCATCTTTGGGCAAAAATTCATCGGATTTTGGGAGGATTTGCGTAATGGAGAGATTTCAGAAATCTCACAAAAGCTGTTGCTTGGATGGAGAGGTCATATTTCCGGAATGCTTTGTACCGTGTTGCTTGCATCTGCGCGAAGCGGACGTAGTTTCGGACACAAACAACAATTAATACAAAGCATAGGAGGGCATGGGGTGGAGGAAAGGCATCATGGTGACGCTGCATAAACATTAGATTCACAGGATCACAATGCTCAATAAACTCAGTTTGTTCTTTAACTTTTTTCATTCTTAATGGATGTGCTACACCCAAGACTAACCATCGTATCTCATGATAAATGAAACCGCTTACCGTCATCGACATTAATCATACACTTTCGTCATCATCCATTGCGCCTTCTCGGTCAGCAAAGGTAAGGTACTCTTCCTCGACAGCTTCATCACCTAAGACCATCTTCCAAGCATCTTGAACCGACTGCAAAATTGAGTCGTCAAAAGCAAGGGCTGAGGCAGGAGGAGCAAAATCGAAAATCGAACCGTTTGCTTGACTGTGAGCCGAGCTTTGCAATTGCTTATACTGCAGTTTATAAAGACACTGGGGGACAGTATCACCAGACAAAGCAGCCGGAAAAGAATCCAATGCTTGTTGAAGCAAGTCCTGGGAGGCATGCTCTGAGCCAGTGGTAAAGTAAAGAACACCTGTTGATCTCCAGTTAGCGCTTGTTCAACGAACCAGCATGAAGAAATGAATATGATTGAGTGAGAGTACATCAGAATGTCAGAGGTATTATCGCCAGTGCCGAAGCTCAGACAATGTAGATAAGTATTCGATTTGGATCATCATGGTACTCGGAAGGGTAGTGAAAGAGACAAAGGAAAGAGTTGGCTTACTTTGGTTGGCAGGACATTCCCCGGTATCGCTGGAATGAACAGACAGATACACCGGGGATGTTGATGCTTCCCCAGTAGCAGTTGACAAGGAGCCAGCTGGGAAAGCAACAATGGCGACGGCCGGCTTTGGTGCACCTTCGACCGTTGACTCGAAAAGTGATTTCAGTGAGGAGCCAACAACAGCTACCAGCCTGTTGATACCGAATCGATCAGTAGCGCTCTCGTTGGCGCGGACAACCTTGCGTGTCTTGATTGTATCGCCGCTGGAGAGTTCAATCACGATGGGGTCGTCCTTGTCGTTCATCGTCTTGACGCCTGTCCCGAGCATATACACAGCTCCGCCTACCGCACCGGCTCGGCATGAGACTTGGGCAATCTCTGACAGGCCGCCCCACTTGGGGTAGAGGGCAGCAAAGCCTGGGCCGTACATACCCATCGACGAGAGATGGCGATGGATGACAGCCAGCCCGTCTCTGGTATTGATCTTTCCGTCGAGTGAAAGGGTGAGAGTGATGATGTAAGTCTGAAGTTCCTGATCCATCTTGAACTCTTTCAGCAAGAACTCAGTCAGTGGTGCATCCGCGTGGGGTTGCCATGTGTCTGTCTGGGGGGTGATGTCGTAATCCAAAACGAATTTGAGGAACTTCATCAGACCGCGCTTTGCCTTTGCTGAGATGGCGGTGGTAGAAAAGACATCTTCGCGGGTAGAAGGGATGCGGACCAGGGTGGGTTTTTGCGAGGAATCTGGGGAGGGCTTGAAAATAGAGAAGGATCCCACGGCAAGGAACTCGACCTGCCGGTAGGCGCGGGAAGAGACAAGCTGGGAGAGCAGCGTCGAGCGGGCGTGGATGAGCTGGGGTGCGAGTGCCAGGGAGTATGCGCGGGGAAAAGACAAGCCGGTGTCACCCCCGAGCTTCTTCACGGAGGCAGCCTCAAAGAGGCCTTCCTTGCCGGTTTCGACCTTTTCAACCCATGATTCTACTTCTTGCAGGCTGAAAGCTGCTTCAGCACCACCATAGAAGTCATTTGGGTCGATGTGAAGGACCTTCTTGTCGGATCTCGAGAGGGCTCTTCAAGGAGGGGAAGTGCTGGGTTAGTTAGACAGGCAAACGCGAAGTTGGTGTTTTGCTTGATTGTACTTACAAAGCGAGCAGCGACTGCTGCAAACCCGTGCCGCAGATGACGACGTCCCAGAGGGTGTCAGCCAAAGACTCCATTGCTACATGGAGCGGGCACTCTGTGACAGTCGGGACTGTACCGACAGACAGGTTTTGCAGTTGTGGTGGAAAAGAAGCAGTTGAGAAGAAGCTTTGCAGGCGGCGAAAATTTGAATGAAGTTCGAGCGGGTGGATCGGCGTAACCTTGTTCGCGATGGTGGCCTCAGGGTCGGCAAATGTTCGGCCCGAGCCCCACCTGAACTTCTGCACGGGCCCTGCGAGCGACTGCAGGAAAACACTGAAGGTTTTGGCCCGAGTGGAAACTTTCTCTTTTTTCTCACCAACGCTCAACAACCGACGGTGATGTCTGCCCTCAACAGCATTGTGGTACGGTGGAGTTGCTTTCATTAGGAACTCTCATGTTGAGCGGCAGATCAAATGTCTCCCTGTATCTCCTGCTCTGGAATTCATCTGTAAGAGTGGGTCGAAAGTGTAGACACATTTTTCCATGCTGCTCAGTTTGCTGTTATATGACGACGAGCCCTCGCTGTTTGACCCCTTTTGATGGCTGCCCTTGAAAGTATACATCGATTAGATTCTTGAGCAGGGTTATGGATTTCAGCTCCAAAGCTATCAAGACTTCTTGACTTGGATTAAGGGTCTACGCTGCCTTTCCAATTACCCGACAATTCTCAAGGTCGAGATATGTTGCTGGCGGTTAGCGCCTGGGCTTTTATTTTGGATGGGATATAGGTTTCCCTAGACAAGACAGATCGTGACATTTACTTCATGCTTCTTCCCGTTTTCAAATATTACCGTCACTGCAGTTTGAAATGGCCTCTCAAAGAGTATCACACAACTAAACCACAAACGAAAGACAAATGGAAAACATCGCTTCAAAGCTCATGTAAACCATCTTTTGGGTATCAATTTTACATCCCTTCTACTCTGTCATCATCCTCATCTTTCCAAATAACCATCTCCACAATCCCCTAATTCCCCATCGCCTCCTTCACCTCCCTCCACCTCCCCTCCGCAACCCCAACAAACCCCCTAATCAACTCCCTCCCAATCACCGTCCCACCCTGCTTCTCAATACTCCTCACCCTCGTCTCCCCCCCGTCCGAGCAATCCACGACAACAGTAACAACCTCCTTGCACAGTTCCTCCTCGCTCCGATCCGGATCCAACAAAATCCAATGCCTATTCCGCTCCCCCCTTCCCACCTCACCATGCTCCTTCTCCAAAAACACCGCCGCCGAACAAGCCACCGGCAGTCCCCTGACATTCAACCTCGTATCCTGCCCCTTCCGGCAAACAACCATCTCCCTATCAGGATCCCACCTCGCCATGGGAAGCTTCGTATCCTTCAGCGCAGCCAAAACCGCCGCCCAAGCAGCATCAAACGGGTTCCCGTCAAAGCTGACAAAGAGCAAGTCAATATACAGCACCCAATACGCCACCACCTGCGGCTTCTGCTCCTCCCGCTCCTCCTCCCCTTCAACTTCCATATCCCCTTCCTCCTTCTTACTCTCCGGCGTGAACCACACCCTCAACCCCCGCCCGTCCACCACCCCAGCCCCGTGCAAAAGACTGGACACCCTCGTGCTCACCGTCTGCGCCAACGTCGTAGGCGGCACACCCGGCAAGAACTGTGGCGCGCACCCTGTTGCCAGCTCAATATTGGGGACTAGCAGATCGTAATCCTTGAGTTCTTTCCTCGCCCTTGCCTCATCGCCCTCGTCTTGATCGTAGAGCGTCCCGTTGTGAGGTCGGAATTGGGGAATGGCCGTCACGGGGAGGAGCTCGCCTCGGACGCCGCAGATGACGGTCGTGTCGCCTGTTCGGACGAGGGAAGAGCCATGAGCTTGGGATAGGGAGGAGGTATTGATCTGGATCGGGCGTGACTGGTGCGGCGCGCGGCCGTTGTTGCGGGTGGGCTGCTGGTCTGGGGAGTCGGGGGAAAGAGTGCGAAGGAGGTATGGGTGGGGGGAGAGCTTGGCGAAGACGGGGCGGGTAAAGGTGAGGGAGGGCTGGGGCCCGGATGGGGCTGGTGAAGCTGTTGCCATGTTCTGTTGGTTGTAGATGTCCTGTTTATTTTATGTGCCGGCGAAGTTTTGTACAATTGTGGTGTTGTTTGAGCTTGGTGAAAGTCGCCTGGAAGATGAGGTCGCGAAATTTCAATGCAGACTTTCAGCCTTGCAGATCTGGGACGGTAGAAAATGTGGGGGTCTGTTTAGTGGGGTTTGCCTGGAGTCTTCGCTGGTTTAGGGCGGTGTAGCTGAGCTCTAGGGCCTCCATGTGTAGCTGAAATCAGTGGTCGTGCTGCAATTATAGCGATTCGTAGACAGATAGCAAGGGAAAACAGCTCAGCAAAGTGTTGAGAGAAAAGTTCATGGCATCTCATTGCATCATTTGTCTATGCTATCTAACTTCTTTGTATCCGTTATTCCGAAAGTATATCTACATCCTATTCTGTACCAGGTAGCCGCAGCCAAAAGCCAGCAACAGTATTGGCAACTTCAATCGCATTGGTCATAACCAATTCATGCCCGCTATTCAAAACCACAGCCTCAAACCCATCCTCACCCAGCACAGCCGTAGCGTCATGAATCAACTCCTCCTTCGAAACAACGGGGTCCATGGCTCCAAGTATTAAAAGAATGCTTCCCCCCTTAAGGCCAGGCAAGCTTGTGTCCACCCAGCCCGCCTCTTTCCTCCGTTCGGCTAGGAGCCGCCCCAATGCTATCCAGTCCTTGTGTTGATTGTAAATGGGTGCATGACGGATGCTACTCATGAAAGCCGGAATGAACCCCCTGTGTTGGTGAAGCTGCCATTCCATAACGGACGACACTGTATGGCCCGGTCGATGTGCCAATAGAGTGGCGCCGTCCCAACCATCTCCGCCGTTGGCATCACTGTTTTTGTGCTTGATCTTAGGTCTATCCACCACCTGAGTAGCCATCCTTGTTTCCGTCATAGCTTCTCGTCGTTTTGGCATGAGGCGTCTCCGAACTAGAAACTCGAGCGCCCATTCTGGGAATATCCCCGTCGAGTACAGTAATCTGCTCCTCCAGCTGACATGTTCAGGCCGAATCAGTCCTCCACCAGCGATAAGGACAACAGACCGGACCATGTGGGGGAAGTCTTTGGCGAACGGAACAGCAATCCCTCCTCCCAGAGAATATCCAATCAAATGGAATCCGTCATTCCCAGCCCACGCCACGTTCGACGAGGCAAGAGCGAGGAGTATCTGAGTTGTGTATAGGCGAATGTCATAAGGGAGGTCGGTTGGAGTATCCGAGTAGCCACGCCCAAAGAAGTCGAATATCATAACACGATATCCCATTCTGACCAACTCCTGCCCGAGGTTTCCCAGTGCTAAACAAGGCGTGCTGATGCCATGCAGCAGGAGAACCTTCTCTCCATCTTCAGGGCCCCATTCGAATACTTTGATGATGCCGTATGGTGTCTCAACGTCCCGGCCCCCTGGCAATGCGTCTGGGGGATAGGGCAACGCATCGATTTCCTCTCTTGAAAGTTTTGACAACTGTGTCTCACGGGGTGACCTGATGAGTAGAGGTTTCCTGGAGCCCTTCAGCTGCCTAAGTGCGTTGAGTGTCAAGCCTGTTGTTAAACCGAGTGCCACACCCAGGGCGAGGTAGGAGCCAGCCCCTGGAGGACGAATGTTTGGCGCCCACACTGGCATCGGAATAAGGTGCTGAATTTGAAGATTGGCTGTCCGTATATCTGAGAGGCGTGTGGTTCCGTCGATCAAAACCCAAGACCAAGATTACCTGGAAGTGTCTTGACTTGAAGATTTGTGCCCGAAGATTGGCGAGACGAATTTGGGCAGCCGGGTTTGATATCTGTAAGCCAATGTTGCGAGCCGGAAAGCGGGGCCGTCTTGGCCAGGGACTCGTCAAAGGCGGCCGTACAAGAGACGGAGAAAGCCAACGGCGTCGAGAGTATCGCTATATGAGGTATGATATCCTATACTAAAAAAGATTCGTACTTCAATTTCAAATGTCGCCATAAAACAAGGGAGAAATGTGACCAGCAAAGACTTGGTGGTGGGGTATTCGAATATGGATCCATGATGGCGGGGATCGCGGGGTTATCGTAATCTCGAATTGCCATCCCCCACCTTCTGTGAAGACCTTCTTGCCGGCAAGAAAGCCTGGACAAGAAGGCGGTCGAGCTCATTTCTCTCTCTTGTAAAAGCTTTTGAGCCTGGCGATTTGGCGTCTCATGAGCCCCTTCTCCTTCTCACCATCGCTGTCTGAAAGCGACTGAGAGAAGGAGGGGCGCCCAGATCCGTTCATGTCTTTAACAAGTTTCCGGGGTGGGGGTTTTTCTCCTTGGTGTTCGACAGCTGAGATCCAATTTCGTGACTGATAATCCAAAAGCGAGGATTTGGCTCTTCCCCGAAGCGGTCGGTTTGAGGAGTTGGGTGAGCTGGGTGAAGCAGCACCATCAGAGCTGTGCTCAGAGCTCGGATCGAGGAGTGATGAGTACATCGACGGGTGCTCGGTGAGCTTGCCCATGGAGCGCCTGTGTCTGAACATTTTGGCCATGAAAGCGAGAAGTTTGTCCAAGAATAGGGAAACAGTTCGGTAAACAGTTGAAGTAAAAAAAGTTCAGTCCAGATCAGATCAGACCAAACCAGACCGGAGGGGGGGGTTTAAGTTATATGTCCGGTCCAAGCCTCCTCGGCGGCCCGCTTTCAACAAACAAAAAGTGTAAATCCTTGCGCCGGGATCCCAAGAGTTGATTCCCGAACTGCTGCTTGTGGAGCGTCTGGGACATCTTCCCCATGCAGAAGGCAAGGTATATCACCATTTCTGATGTTTCGATCTGCGAGGATTGCCGCATGATCTAACAAAGTCGTTCAGCAGGCAGTAGTGGCGAACTCAAAAGGGTCAATGTCTTTAGCGGCTGGCCTTGCTAGGCGATGCTGACTGCGGGTTGGTCGGAGCGACAGAGCGCTTGGCTGCGCATCCCCGCTATCATCCGCCCTCATAACCCTGTCATTGCTGGTTGTAAAAGACCGCAATGCCAATGGGTGAGGTCGAATTGACGTTGTTTGTGGTTGTTGATAGTCTCATTGGCCAAACATGTGGTCGTTGAAAGCTTGTATGATTCTCGGTGTCTCTTTGGTTTCACGCAGTTACACACACTTTTTGGCCATACACAGCCCCGCACCGCTTAAGCTTGTGACAGCAACAAGGGGAAAAGGGGGCCGAGGAGGCCGAAAGGGGGATGATTTAGCTTGGAAAATGATGCTTCTCCCTTGCAGAAGCCCAAAGCTTTCGAAGGCCCAGAAATTCCCTTTCTGCTTAGGCATCTAAAAGAGCCCTGAAGCTGAGAACCGACGAGGATCTCTCTTTTCTTGGTGACCAGCATCCAAATAGAATACAAAGCCCGGGCACCGAACGAACATGCTGTACGTGTAACGTATAAGCAGTTTCGATTTGAGTTGAAGCGGTTGCCATGGATCTGCAACACCCAACCCATAGTCCTTAGGCATCCATCAGTCGCGATCTATTCAGTCTTCGAGATAGACAGATTTCCAAACGGCACAACCACATGGCCAGGAGCGCCTGAAGAAATGGACACAGGCGTGGTCTCCAGAAGGTATATTTACAACCTCGCGGCATTATAAACATGTCGTCCCATCCCTCTTGCCAGCTTGCCCGGGCCGTCGTCTAGTTGCTGTCTCTGTTCCAGTCGTTTATGAAGTCTCGTTCTTGACGAGCTGTGTGACGGCATCCTCGATCTGCTTGTCGGAAAGTCCTATACCAGAGTAATATTAGCACGAGTCACCCTTAGTCCTCCTTCCAACCGCCTCCCATCACCCTCAGATGTAGACCATACCTTCTAATGACTGGCTCTTCTCCTGACCAAGTCCTGCCCAGTATGTCAGTATTCTTTCTTATATCGCAGTTCTCGACAAACTCCTTGGTGTTGAAAACGGACCATATCTCGCATAGATCTTGGGGAGTGTGCCCTGGGCCTCGCGGAGCATGATGGGTGTCGATGGGTTGTTCTTCTTCATGATGGGGTATGCGCGGCTAAGGAAAGACCTACACCAACAACAATCGTTAATCAATATCCTGTACTTAAGGCACTGCCAATGCAGTCCGGAGGCGCAAACATACCGAGTAGCAGCGCTGTGCTCACCAGTCTGGCAGAAGAGGAAGCGAACCTCCTTGAGGCCCTTGGCGAAAGCGTATCTGCCCGACATCTTGATATGCTCTGTATATGAAAACGGAAGGGAAACTAGTCGCTCGATTGGTTCGTTTTGTTGTTGTCGTTTGCTGTCCGGCCCCAGGGCACAAGGAAATGGGCTTTCGCGGGTCGTGGAGGCTCGATTGATTCAAAATGGAGCTCTTGCTGCTGGCGCAAGTTGCTTGCAACGCTGCACCTCTTAACTTCCTGCGCTGCATAAAATAGTGTGCATAACTTCGAGGGGTGGTTGCACAAAGCCTGAGCAGTGCACGGACCAGACAAGAAAGGCCCCACGGCGCGTTGGCCGACTGCCAGCGAGAGCCTTGTTCGCATCGCTGTCCAGCTCGTCATTCCCACCACCGGAGGTTCAACTTGCGAAGCTGTCTTTGGGCAAGAGTCACGAGGGATTGAATTATCTCTCTTCGTCCTATTACGTCCAGTCCGTGCTCCCCATATGCCAACTTGTCTTGCCTCCAATCCATCGTAGATTCTCCTTAACTAACAACTGACATAAGAAAAATCCCTGGGTTCAAAATAAATTCCATCTCCCGCCCGCCGGTGACCGGAGTCCACATCCTACACCTCTTTGAATTGATTCCGTCCCCCGACGACCTCCCGACCCGACCGAACCTTAATACTTCCCAACCCCCGTCATCACCACCCCTGACGACGAGCACCTTTCCCACCCCCGACCTCACCTCCGTTGATTGTTTGCGCAATTAGCATACCGTCGTCAAAATGTCCACCCTCTTCCGCGCCTCCCGCCCGGCCTTCCGCGCCCGCACCTTCTTCCAGCAAAACGCCTCCAAGACCACCCGCCGCTTCCAGTCCACCGAGTCCACGGCCAATGCCGCGCCAGAGTCATGGATGCAGCAGTTCTGGAAGAGCGAGAAGGGTCCCAAGACTGTGCACTTTTGGTATGTTTGCCCCCGAAATCAACATCCCCCCCCCCGCGATCCAAATCAGTCATTAACACATCCTCTCTCCCCGCCAGGGCACCAATGATGAAATGGGGCCTCGTCCTCGTCGGCATCTCAGACTTTGCCCGCCCCGCCGAGTCCCTCTCCCTGACCCAAAACGCCGCCCTCACGACCACCGGCATCATCTGGACGAGATGGTGCTTGATCATCAAGCCCAAGAACTACCTGTAAGCTTTCCTCCCCCCCCCACCCCCCTCCCTTTCCCTATACCCGCAAAACATACGCTAACATGCACCCATATTCAGCCTCGCCGCAGTCAACTTTTTCCTCGGATGCGTCGGCGTGATCCAGTGCAGCCGCATCTTCCTCCACCACCAGGCCCAGAAGAAGCTCGCGGAGGAGGTCGGCGAGGCCAAGGAGGCGGTCAAGGAGGCCAAGGAGGCTATTAAGCACAAGTCTTCATAGAGGGAAAGAACGAGGCGTGCTGCAGGAGAGGGACATGGAGAAGCTTTTGGTTGTTTGGGGGGCAGTGTGAAAACGCGTGCACTAATAGCAAGTGTGTGTGTGTAACAAACGATGGTCTTTTTATTCATTTTTCGGCGTGGGGGGAAGATGTGAGGAAATTGTATCTGTACAATTACCCATAAAACGTGGAAGATGGTGGTGTGTGGTTGGTTGGTCGGTGGTGGGCAAGAAAGAACGGAGGGAAAAGCAGAAAAGGGAAGCACGGTAGGGGGAATGGAGTTTATACTGAACTTGCAATTTACATTTGACTTTTTTGATGGATGACTTTGATTGATTTGGCGACACAACATCACTCAAAGAAGATGCATGGTGAAAAAAATGTGAATATGCCTTCTGTTTCTTCTTGGTATCAACATCCAAAAAGGTGATAAACAACGAAGCTACTACACGAATAATGTATCTCTCTAAAAACAGGTTGC